TTAAATAGTTATTGCTGGGAAGCCCGGTCTTGACTCAGATGACTCTCCGGGTCAAGTCAAAAAAAAAAATTGCCAGCATGATCAAGAGCCATTATTAACCAAGAGGCGGGATCTAAAATCAACCAAATTTGGTCCAATCCAGACCAAGTCACAAAATTCCTTGGTTCTTGAAGCTTAAGCATAAATAATGGATTCAAATCAGATTTAAAAAACAGTGATTTGTGATACACGCAAATTAGGCCCACCATAATATTATTATACACAAATAAACCTTACCAGAATCTTACAAAGTTTTAAGAAACGAGTTAATTCCACATTTTATAATCTTCTGCTACGTAGTCCCCTTGGTGTTTTATTTTTGTGTACCATTAGATAAAATTTGGGTAATAATCTCCTACCCATCCCTACTAACAGGACACTACAACGGCACATCAGGAGCTTCTCCCCATAAATGATAACATAAGATCCTCCCGATGTACAATTGTGATGACCTGTGGGTAGTGTGGGTAGTATTCTTGTGGGCAGGAGATAATCTAGAATTTGGATATGCTTGCCAATTGTTCCTATTTTCCTCTTTCTCCATTTAGAAGATGAAAACAAAAAAAATAAAATAAAATAAAATAAAAGAATGAAGAAAAGTCTTTCTTTACACACAATGTACACCCACCACTATCCCATCCTTCCACTCTTCCCCACCTGTCACCCTTATGACAGTTGTTTTGAAATTGCACTCGGTTTAGCCCATTGTATATCTAATGACATGTAATCTAACATCTTTTGAACAATAAAGCTAAAACGGAATATAGCTTTTACTTTTTTCTATTGATGAGATCCTCTTCTAATAAGAAAATTAATCTAGATTTTGTTAGTTTTAAATCTTTTTCATGCCTTTGGTTGACATGGTGTAGCCTTTTAATTTTAATAAGATGCAACTTGGCGAGTTTGGGTTGAGAATTTGTCAAATTGGAATGAGACAGTGTAGATGGATACAAATTTGTATCCGAATTGTACCCGTACTTTTAGCCGTTTTCTTATTTTCTTGATGGGAAAATTTATTATGCGGAAAAGATATGATATGGAAGGACTTTTAATCAATCAAAACCCACCCATGAATTTTGAAAAATAACACTTTATTCGTTATTATGTTTATGATTCCAATTTATTGGTTTATTATTTTTCGGATATCATATCTTTTTTATATCATAGTTGAACCCTTTCTTGATATATGTCTAAACGAAAATTTCTAGGAATACTTGGGTTGTGTTGGGTGCTGTTGTTGCTTCTAATTGTAACACTTGGGTTAAATTGATATAAATTGATGAAAAATATGTATGATGCATCATATATGAGAGTCACCTCCCAGCCAGCAAGAAATGTTAATTTGACGTTTCTACAAACAGTCTCTTACTCATGCATCGCTTCGGTATTCATGTTTTATCTATAAACAGCCCGACATACAGTTGAATGTCAATCTCTATTGATCAACCCAAAATGTTTTAGGTAAAAATAGATATTATACCAAACATAACCTCATCAATGTTTATGGCAACTACTTAACTAGCTGTTTACTTGCACCATCTTCTCTAGATTCTAGATTCAAGGAACTCTTAATGATTTGGGTATAACATAACTTCTCTGCCACTCTTTGTTCTTTTTTATTTGAACGAGTTCTCTTCTTCTTTGCCACTCTTGCTGTTAAGGGTGTGATGATGGGATTATATTCCAATAATCAAGAAAAAATACTTCCAAGAGTTTTAGTTAGGGGTGCAAATGGATTGGATCATGATACCATTAATTCGGATCACCTTTACTCGAGAATATCCTATATATATATATATATATATTGTAAATTTGTTATATTATTATTTTTATAAAAAGCATGTATATATATGAAGAAAATAGTTGAAAAGATATTTGTTTTTCTTTATTTAAATTCTTATATTTTATTTTTCTTTTAATAATTTATTATTTTTTAAAAAAATTAAATCTAATCGGATCAGATCTGAATATCCTACTTCTTCATCAGATTCAAATTCAAATCCATGTATGTGAGATCCGATCGGATCAGATCTACCCTCTATAGTATCAGATCGGATTTGGATATACCATGATTTGAATCCAATCCAATCCGTTTGCATCCCTAGTCCCAGTCATAATTCTTAGCTATTCGATCATTGCCTACTTTTTGCAATGACTCCTTTACTAATTAGGATATTTTTAAACAAAATATATAATTAAAGAAGAAGAATAAGAACAAGAACGCAAACAAGAAACTTAGGGGCTATTTGGTAAGTCTTTCTAAGTAAATTTTTTAACAGCCCAGTAGATGAGAAAATACACTGAACTCTTGGGGTTTTGTCTTTAAAGATCAAGACTGTTTGGTTCACGTCATAGTCTACCAAACTGTTAAAAACAACTATAAAAACTATTTACAGCGCCAAAATACCAAAAACTTAATTCATTGGAAGCTTCCCAACTTTTGGTTTTTCCGGTCTTTCCATGCACTCATGTTTGAGTCTTTCGATCTACACAATACCAAATGGAAAAATACCAAAAGAAATTACATCTCAAACATGATCAATGGCCTTGTATAAGAAACTACAGCTTTTTTTGAAGCAACAGTTTTGGAACAACAACTTTATAGATAAATAAATAGATTTGGAAAATAATCATACATCATCTGAATTAATTAAGAGGAAAAAGTAATTAAGAAGAGGATAATGTAAATGTGGTCATCCAAAGGGATATTCTGAATTTACAAATGAAGAAGGTCATCTTTCAGTGTTGATCACCATTAATTGAGGATGTGACTTGTGGTGTAGCTTGGAAGAAGAAAACTCTCCTACTCCTAGTGATGGGTCAATGTCATCTGATCAATCAATAAATGTATTTATATCAAGCTGATGATTAAGCCTCTTTATCTTATCCCATATGAGCTTAATTATTATATTTCCAAGTTCCAACTCAACGAGTAGGAACAAGTCTTATTAAAATTTGGATACGGAACCACCAACAAAGCAATTAAATTAAAAATTAAAATTAAAAAAAAAAAAAAAAACTTTGAAATTTCAAACAAGACATGTATTAATTAATAGGATGAAACCAAATAAGGTTGGAAAACTGATTGTTTTGCATTACTTGCTGTTTTAGACTTTCTGTCCTGTATCCATCTGTTATTGTATGTGCTACAATACGTATGGTATGGACAGACGTGTTCACTTATCAACCTCTCTCTCTCTCTCTCTGATTCCATTCAACAAATTAGTTTCATCTTTGTCAGAATAAACTTATCAAGGAGAAGATCAAGAAATAGAAGCTGATATGGGCCAGCTCCATTCTTAAGTTACTACACTAGAGGTCTTCACATTTGATATTTGCTATTGACAGATTAAGATTTTCTTTCGTTATGACTATGGAAACTAACTAATGTCCAAAATGGGGAATTTAGACCATTTAGAAGCTGTTTTTGTTTTAAAAAGCTTGCCCAGGAATCAACCATGCTTTAGTTTCAGCTTTCCGGTGGTAGATTCTTGGTGTATATATTAATAGAATATAAAAGATTCCTTGATCTTGATATGATATGGACAAAGACGTAAACGCTTTTATGAAAACGACCTTGATTCGATCAAATGTTACGGGCTTAAACCAACCAAAAAATAGGTGGTGTGGTGGTTAACGTTAGTGGTTAGTGGATTGGGTTGGGTAATAAAGCCAAAGGTGGCTATGAAGATGGGCCCATCCCATATAGCATCAAACTACCCTGTAAACAGAAATGCAAATGGTTTCAAAATCATTACCCATATAGCCTTATGGGCTTCCTCAGTCCTCACAATTTAATCTGTTTTGGCCCTTCCATTATATCAAAGGCCATGGTTAGAATTTACTCATCAATACATAGCCAGCCATCTCTCTCTTCTAAGCCTATTTAAGATATATCATGTTGCACAAGCAAAGGATCATAGCTGTTCTTTTTGTACACTCAACCATATCTACGATAGACCCAAAAAATAATAAAAAAGAGAAAGACTTGTTTGGCCACCTAACTCGTTATTTGATAATGACACTAATATAATATGACTATATGAGAATTCCAGATTGAGAATTGATCAGGCAGCCCATTAATGCCCAAAGATCGACCCGTTCCAAGTTGTCATTAATTTTGTTAACACGCTAAGCTTTATCCCCCTAATGAAATTATTATATGATTATATTAATTGTATCCTAAGTTAGAGAAATGCTAGCGTGACACAGGCACTACAGTGGTGATAAATTTGGTAAATGAATAATCAATGGCCTCAATTTTCTTCAACCCTCTTTACGTTGTTCAAGAATTAACTCACTCCATTCCAAAGAAAGAAAAAAGGACTTTTTGGTTTAAACCGGTCGACATTCAGTCAAAAGTCAAAATCAAGATTTTAGGAGGGATATGATATGGTTGTCCCAAATATTTCATCCGCTACCTGCAACTAGGTGGGGTGAGCATTTGGTTTATTCAATTAAAAATCAAACAGAATAAATTAAAATTTTCAAAATCAAATTAAAAAATAAAAACCAAAACCAAAATCAAAATAAATAAAACCGGAATTTTTTATTTGGTTTTCAGTTATTTCAGTTAAAGTAGAATTTTAATAATGTATATACCATATTATATTATTATACATTATATGTTACATATTATATAACAAAGTTTGATTAATTCGACAGTTAACCAAATTTCTAATTCTAGAAACCAAAATCAAGTTAATCAAACCAAATTAACCAAAACCAAACGGAACTAAATTATGCTCACCCCTACCTACAGGCTACAACCACGTTTGGAGGCAGTGGATCCACAAAATGAAACAAGCTCAAAGGTGCAACCGAGCAACCCCCGAACACTGAAAAAGCAACGTTTTTTCAGTGGTTGTTTTGGTGCTTTGAAAACATGCCCTTAAGTTTGAGAAGGTCGTTTTTACTCGCCCCCTTGCTAAAATGGATGGTGGATGGTGGTTGCATTGACGTGAGACCAAAGCAAGTAAATATCCTCTTTAATTATACTAGAAGATGCTTTTAGCAGAATACAACCAAAGAGATTGACCTCTTCTTCACTTTCACTGACCATCAGAAACCAAAATTAACAACAAATTCAATAATAATAGCAATGAAGAAATAACAAAGCATTCTGAGGTCTAGTAACAAAGTGTACATTAGCATGTGAAACTTGTTTGCTTGGGCGGTCTTGGGACTGAGGTTGACTAAACCACTGGAGTAGTTGCACTCTTCGGTTTTCCAAGACATGATCATTAGTCTCAAGCAACCGACCAGAGATGGGCATATGTTACTTTCATGCAGCTCTGCACAGCTGAAATTAGCCATGGATGAATTGTTTTGCCAAATGTCATCCAATCAATCAATCACATAATTTGGAGCCACAGCTAAAATTCTGTCATTTCTAGATTGCCTTGTTTCTTCACCCTCTGCTGCTGCTTGCCTACCATCATCTACAACTATCAGATGACCCTCCCTTCGTATCAGACTCTGGCATTACACACAATTAGTTAGATGGATAATTGAAGCAACTGATTTTTTTTTGTGGCATGTACAAATGCAGAAATTGAGGCAAAAAAGGAGAGACGCCATCCAACTATTACAGATTTACTGGCTTCCCTGCAAATTATAGCTGGACTTACCTCTATTATAGCTTTAATTTTTGTGACCTCACTTGTCACCTCCTCCATGGAACTATAGTTGTTTTTCTCATTCTGCTGAGCAACATACCACTGAATTAAATCCCTCTGCCTCATACCAACCAAACCAGTCCCTGCAAATTTCAAGAAACCCATCAGAAGGAATTCATAATGCTTCAATGCAAACAGGCAAGTGACAAAGTATATCCTACCTAGGTTTTAATAGTATGATTTTTGCAAGGTTGACACAATATTCCGGGTTCTACATTTATCAGTAGTTTTGTCTATTGCATTGAAAAAGATAACAATGACAGCATAGGGTTATATGCTATACCATCTTGCATCACAGTTTCTTCATGCTGTCTAAGTCGCATCACAAGAGCCTGAGTAACTCGCTGAAAATATTCGTCACTTATCACTAGTTTCTTCCTTTGTTGGCTTCCAGATCCTACCTCATTTTCTGTATCATCATTATTAGGTTAAATTAAGTGCATAATTGCATGTATCGTCCATTGAGAATAGACAAACAAATTATAATGCCTATATATGGCTTATCAGCAGAATTCTAAACTTCTACCTGCATTTCCAGAAGCTGGATCCGCTGCATTAGTACTTGGCTGAGCATCACCCTGTTCAGGACCTCTATTCCCATCATCACCACCATCACCATTTTCTTGAAAGTCAGACAGATCAATCTCGCTGGATTCAACACTATAGAGGGAAAAAATCTCCATTACAACTCTGAGAGGGGACAGAGAGAGAGAAAGAGCGTGAGACAGGTGTTGAAGATCTTGCCTGATTACAGATGTCTTTAGAAGCCTCACTGCTATACGGACATGGCGTGGTTCAACCTACAAATAAAGCCATACAAGTTGTGTTTTGATCAATTATATAAGACTCAAGTTTAGGGATAGACAATGCAAGCCTAGATATGAATAAAGCTATTGGAATTAAACTAACACACCTGAAGTTCAAGATGACTTCGAGCAATTGCTTCTGACAGCCTTATTAATGCCTCAAGTTGCCTAACTGTCATTCGATAAGCAACCCTACTCCCAGGAGCTGTATCACCCCTACGAAGAGCAACATAAGAATCCACCAGCAGTCTCCTGGCTTCTAAGCTTAACTGTAAAAAAAAATCAACTTTTGTTAAGGCTCACATATACAAAGAAACAGAGCTTCTAGCTACAGAAAAGCTTGTTTTAAAATGAAGAGGAAACAATAAACCTTCGGCTTCAAAGTCTTTGCATAAGCAATATAACGCTTCAATAGTGCAGTCGAGAACGCTGGAGCAAGTGCATCTTCATGCTTCTGATGTACTCTCACAATATGGTGGGCAATATGGTAATCTGTTTGATCATCTGGCTCGTCTATCATGACATATACCAAATCAAACCTTGAAAGTATGGCAGGAGGGAGAGCTACATTGTACTGAAAGGGGAAAGAAAACTAAAATTATTTTTCCATGTTTTTAAACCACAGTGCATGGCATACATCTTTTCATGTTTTAAAATTGAAAACATGAACCAACATCATAAAACTAGATTCAACACATTTACACAACAAACCTTCCAGATTCAACACAATACCATACACCGCAAACATTAATCAGGACCTGATAAAGTAAAAGAGCAAACATTTAGAACAAGAACCATCCTACCTTGAGTGGTTTCGATTTATCATAGCGCCCACCAGTGGGATTGGCAGCAGCTAAAATTGAAGTTCGAGCATTCAGTGTTGCTTGAATTCCTGCTTTTGTGATGCTTATGGTCTGCTGTTCCATTGCTTCATGAATGGCAACCTTCAAGTAGAACATAGAATATTAGACTCCAAGGTGGAAATTTGCATAAATGTAAAAGCTGTGAAAAGACTTTCTATTAAAAAATACCTGGTCTCTGATGTCCATCTTGTCAAATTCATCGATGCAACATATGCCATTATCAGCAAGCATCAGTGCACCAGCCTGCAGTCATACAAATAGAGATCACTATGACAAAAAAGGACTGGGATCCAAAAAATTAGGGAGCAAATGAAGGTATGACAAATGGAAAGAAGAGTTATTCTTATATAGGGCAAAGCACTGTGATTTGAATTAGCAACACACATGCACTCCATACTGACAATTAGGGCAAAATAGATCCCAAAATGCACTAAAAGAGAAAAAAAATGCCATACAAGGGATGCACAACCTCAATGCAAAATTCTCCAGTTTCAGGTTCTTTGGCCACAGTTGCTGTCAACCCTGCAGCAGAAGAGGATTTTCCAGATGTATAGACAGATCTTGGAACTAGACTCGAGGTGTACCTGCACAATACATAACCATCAGTACAATTGCAGGTGTATTGCTTTAAAAACTTATAAAAAGAATAAAGAATGATAATAGACCAAGTTTGCATACTTGAGGAACTGAGATTTTGCACAGCTAGGATCTCCAACAATACAAACATTGATGTCACCTCTCAGGTTGATGCCTTCATGAGTGAACTTGTGGACACCACCCAAGAGCATAAGCAGGATAGCTCGCTTGATTTCTTGGTGACCAAAAACAGTTGGAGCAATGCTATCAACAAGCTTATTAAAGAAATCAGGAGTATTCCTCATCCTCTGGATTTCATCTAGTTCTTCTGCCTGTAAGAGGATCAAAAGAAAGACAAACATGATTGTAGAATGCAAATGATAAGATCCACTAGGAAAAAATGTTCATTTGGCAACATGTTTCGTTGAACGCTGAACATTGTTGGATGCTTTCATGGCATGTATACATCGAAACCCCTTAATAGGGAATCTAGAGCCTGAGGCACAGTGGCATCATTGAGGATCTGGGGTCAACCATTTTTTTGGACAGACAGTAGTCCTCAGGTACAACATCAGGCATGTAGGAAAATGGTCTACAGAACATTCAATGAGTCCCACATGGATATAGATTACCAAAAACAAGCATGACATGCGGCAAAAAGTTATCAAATTAAAGATCCAAAACAATCTGCTAATGACAGTTAAAAATCAGATGGCCGTATATATGATGCAAACAATGAGATAAATGGGTCAAGGCCTACACACATAAGCATTCATGCTGAAGCAGAAGGATTGGTGGTTATGGAGTTCTATATTTAGTCTGCATCACATATGCAAGAAGTGAAGAACTAATGAACTCTATCTAGAACTCCAATATGAAACACCCATCCAGGTACAGCCGAAGTAAGGAGGGCAGAGTGAGCTGATTGAATGGAAGAAATTTGATGCATCAATAGATTAGACAGACTACTCAGTATCAAATATTGGGTTGCTTCCATACAAGTGCTGGTTAAATTGTCCAACTAGTTACAATGAGTTGGTCAGAGGGGGCAACAAACAGTTTATGGACATGGACACTAACAATCGAAGGTCATGCAAAAGAAGCGGGTAGTGGTCCAAAAACTTACTGTGAATTGCGGATCATCATCTTCATCCGCATCTTTCTTTCTATTCCTAATGTCACTATCCCTTCTGCCATCAGCCACCTGTAGCAAAACCAATAAGAATGAGATCATTGAAATGCAATTTACAAATTTTGCCAGACTGACATCGAAAGAACTACTTGAACATCAACTGTTCAACCTGCACTGAGTTGGCAATGAAGGCAAGGCGATAGTTAAGGTCTCTCACTCCCAATGCCCGTAAACCCTTAACACCTTCATTTCCAGCAGAAGAATTCTGACGCTGGGAAGCTTCTCGGCGGCACTCAGCTCTCTCACCCGGTGACGCTAATGCCATTATGTCAGGTATTACGACAACAGTACCCGTGAAAATGACCCTGTAGAAGCAGAAAATGAGATGCAATTATAATCCTTAAATCCTTGAAAGAAAGACAAATGACAGTAACATTGAAGCAAATTGGAAAGCTTGATAAACAAGCTCTTACGTGTCACCAGCCCTGGCCTGCTCGACAATCTCATGACGCAGGATAACATCCAGTGATCGTGGAAGAGAGCCTGCTGGTATCTCTTTCGAGGTCTCTTGCATCCGAACCCTCTGCCAATCTGCAAATTTGCTCTCTTGGCGAAGCAATGCCCACTTTGTCCTTTTTGCACAGAGCGCATTCGCGCAGATTATTGGCTGCAACCAATCATCCAAAAGGAAATGCATCTCAACATTCGAAAATTGTAAAAGCAGAAATGCAAAGGGAAAGGGCATAACCCGAAGAAAGAAAGAAACGCCCACCTCGGTGTATTTAAATTGCTGTTCGACATTCTTAATAACGTGTCCACAGTCCAGGCATTTGAATGTCCCTTGCAGAAGCTCGGGCCGAACCTCGCTCGTACGAGTTACTACCCCTGTCACTGAGACTAACTTTCCAATATCGGCAGTTGACAAATCCCTCAATCTGCAGTGGAAGACGAAGGGCGATACAGAAAATGTTACAGAAAACTCTGAATGAACAAACAACTGTTCCTTTAGTTAGTTTGACGGGAATCCCTAAAATTTCCCAACGTTAGGGTTTTTCCTACCTCTTTAGAATAGGAATGTTGTAGAAGGCAACATTAATGTCTTTATTAGGGTTATCATCAGCAATGAAAGTCGGCTTCTGCTCCATCACAAACCTCTTGCAAGCATTCTTCATATAGGGCTCAAATCTGTAGAGTAGAGGCATTAAAAGGAGAAAGAAACTCATTTTTCTCTGCATTTCATTCCTTGTAGAAACAAAGCCGAGGCCAATGAATACAGTAAAATGGAGCAATTATGATCTCACCTCAGATACTCCTCAGAAATGGCCTTTTGAAGAACATCGTTAAAGCGCATTACATGAGAGAAATCCACGAACATCGTAGTCGATTCCTTGGCTTTCATGACTTCGATCTCTGATTCATAGAACGGCTCCCCCGAGTTGGGGTCTACCTTGAAGCTGAATAAGAAAAGGAGTCGATCAATTAACAAAAAAAAAAAAAAATTGCCCAAATACGCGAGAAAAATAGAAAGAAAGAAAACAGAGGAAAATATGCAAATAATACACCAGAAAGAAACAGAGAGTCTGTGTGTGTAAGATCTAAAGATCACCTCTTGAGGAACTCTAAGAATATGTTCTCTACACGAACTGCTTTCTCGTCAACGAAAAAACCACCGAAGGCATCCATTTCTCCCCTGGTTGTCCCCGACGGAATGTCCTCCTCTGGAGTGCTCCTTCTCCGTCTAAACTCAACGCCTGTAGACAGTGGACACCGTCGACTTCTTTTTGGCGGGAATAAAAGCGCGGGAACCAACTGTTTCCCGCCAAGAGAAGTAGGTGTAGCGTGGTGTGGGACTGCGACCGGGTCGGTCTAGCAACGGGTCGGATCCGGTCTGGTTCAGGGTAGACGTGGCCCAAACCTTGGGCTAGAAGTTCAGACCTGCTACCAACAACCGCTCCTGTTCCAACTAACTCACTGCAGCCGTACATTGGGAACATCTTCCCATCAATGGAAAGGGAGATGCTCCCAAATCCTAATGTGTGGCTGCAATAACTTGTTGGGATATTGTTAGGAGTAGATCCCTACCCCAAACCTAGACCCTACTTTCATGAATCGGGATCTGCTCCTCAAAAAATATACCTCACAGCCTCATTCCATCGTGTATTGGGATTTGGGAACATCTCCCCATGAATAATAACACGAAGGACGGGAGATGTTTCCAATACACAATGAGATGGGATTGTGAGATCTGTGTGAGGTGCACTTTGCGAGGAATATATCCAAACTCCTTCTCCTTGCAAAAGAAGAATAAAATGCAATTTACAAATTTGCAAAGATGAAAAGAAAAAAGAAGAAAATGAAAGAGTCTTGATAGTTTATACAAGATGGAGGAGTTATAATTAATTTGAACTATCTTGTAGTCCTTACAAATTATAATTAACTGTCATAATTAATAACTAATTCCATAGCAATGATATTAATATGGATGCCCTTTTCATTTTATTTAATTTTCTTTGCTTTTTGCATTTCAGATAGACCTTAGACAATTCAAGCCTAGTTTTCACATGTTAAGCAATAATTGTTGGGGGTGCCTTTCTTGTAGTCAGTTGAGTAATATTACTTTAATTTGTATCCATGTGGATGACCTTTTATTTAATTTTTGTATACATGTAACTTCAATTTGTATAGAAGTTGCAAGAAGAAGGGCCAATTGATGCTTGATTCATTTTGTTTTGTTTTTTGATTTATTATATTTTATTTTCTGAACGAATGAGAGATGATATAATTATTCCATTACAAGACAACTACATGTAAAGTTGGAGCTCTTCGAGATGTGGAATCAATCTCTCATGAGCTATTCATCATTTTCAACCAATTAGTTACCATGGTTACTTAGCCCGAAACACAACTTTAGATATGTGGGTGAATACATTAGACCAAATTTTTTTATGTATTAATTGTATTATTTATGATAGCAATTTGAAAAATGTAATATATTTTTAACACATTTGTGTATAAATACAATTGGACCGTAATTCAACAACAACTTACAAGGTTTGTTGCTTAAAATATTTATGAGAAACATTTATTCAATTGTGGCTACTTTACAATTAACAACTATTGACTTGATTGTTGTGTATGGAACCTTAAAGTAACAAGTGCTTGATTGTTGTTAATTCAATAATAATTCATACAAATTGTTGTCATAAATATTTGTAACAAACAATTGTTCAGTTGTTGCTAATTTACAATTGACAACAATTAATTGGATCATTGTTTAAAAAACTTTGGAGCAACGATTGTTTGATTGTTGCTAAAAAATTATATGATAACGGTTTTTATGCATTGTTGCTAAAACAACTTGTTTGCTAATGATTGAATATGGTTGTTCCAAAACACTATTCTTACCAACAATTGAACCAACTGTTGTAAAAAACATATTTCGCAACACTTGATTGTTGCAAAACACGTTTAACAATGGCTTCACTAGCAACATCTCATTCAGTTGTAAGTAAAACATTTGATAACAATTTTTCCTATATTGAAAACAAAGTTTGGATTGTTACCAAATGTCATTTTTCTTGTAATGGCAAGATACATAATCAAATATAACCAACCATTTAGCATGGTAGAACATGAGTTTCTTGATATTTAGGTTATTGGTCTTAATTTCATGTTTAAAATGATTCACTCAACACATTTAGGAAGGATTGCATGGAAATCTATAAGAATGAAAAATATAAACATTATGACATTCTTCATAAGTTTAGTTATAGGATTAGTCCCACTACTGATATGTGGATATAAGGGCAAAATATTGGATATTGTTGTTTTAATTACACATTAAATTGATGATGAATGGCAACTGAAAAAGAAATAGGTTTATGAGTTGTTAAAGAGAAGTATGAAGCTATAACACTTACTAGAGTCATCAAATATCTTATTTTGCATAAGTTATAGATTCCATTGTTGATAATGTTTATTTGAATGATATTGCAATTATAAACATGAAGGAATGGCTTTTTAGACAGGGTAAACTTCTTTTGTTAGGCGAGTTATTACATGTGTTTTGCATAATATGTGTTTCGAAACTCATTGTACAATATGGGTTAAAAGTTGTTAGGCACTTGATAGGCAAAATAAGAGAATCAGTCAAATATTAACAAGCTTCAAAAAAGAGAAATCTAAAATTTGAAATGACAAAAAACCAATTATAGATTCATAGTAAAAAGGAGTTGGTTTTCGATTGCCCTACAAGATAGAATACATCCTATGATATGCTCAAAACTACATTTAAGTATAGGTTGTAATTGCTCGATTAAAACATTGATAAAGAATATATACTTAATCCATCTTCTGATGAGTGGGATATCAGTTATGTTGTTTATGAATGTTTGGAATATTCATATTAAGCGGCTAATGCATTTTTAGGGACTACATATCCAACATCCAACTCATTTTTTCAGGATATTTGTGAGATTCGTATGCAAATTGACGGGTGACTATGGAGTAGGAATGATTATTGGTGGAGGGTGATTTGGACCGACCTCATAATAAGGGGACACGTGAACATGACCCGACATAAGTGACAACTCAGCATAACGAGCTCGGTACAACTCAGCCTGACAGCTCGCCCGAAGTGGCAGCTCGCTGCAAGATGATACTCTGACACCCCGAGCTAAGACTCCCAAGTAGAGAGCACCCCGAGCTAACACTCCCAAGTAGGGAGCACCTTGAGCTGAAGACACCTCGGATGAGACTCATCAACCCCTTAACTAGGATTAGTTCGCTCCCACCTAAACTTAGGCTCTCTGAGACCCACTTCGGAGAAGCACCTCGGTGTATCACCAGTAGCTCTGTGTAAAGTAGCTCACGGCAGAGCAGCTCGGCGTATCATGCGAGATTCACTGCCTGACAACCGTACCTGCCAGACTGCACCCACGTCTCTCGCCTGGCGGCGTCTAGCAGGACTGTACTTTGCAACAATTACCTTTGCCCGCCAGCACAGCTCTAACAGATAACGGCTAGTCACGTCAAGCCGTTATTTGACAGAAGATCGCCGTAGCAAAGATTTGGAGGCAATTACACCTGATATGTCAGAAGACCACTATATAAAGATCCCGACCCCCAGGGGCAAGGGGATCGCATGATCATCACTCTTAGCTCCTTGATTTCTCTGCATCTCTCTCTCTCTCTCTCTCTCTCTCTCTCTCTCACAGCTCCCAGTCTGAGTTACTAAGTTGATCGTCGGAGTGTTCCCGCCAAGTGAATCCCCCGGGATCCTTCTTCTTCCTCGCAGGTGTCGCGTCCGTCGCCAGCTACGAGTTCAGCCACTGCCAGCTAGGAGTGACCAGATCGCGCACCATCAATTATAATTCAACCAATGCCTATGAAAATGTTGAAAAAGTTCAAGAAATATTGAGATGAGGTTAATTTACCATTGGTATGTTCCAAATCCAAGATACAAATTGGCATTTATGAGGTATAATGTGCATAGGGTTTATGGTTATGTGGGAGAATATGAAGTCGCAAAAGTGTGTCAATGTCTTTGTCACCTTTACTCTCATTATGCAAATTATGATACCCCATCTAATCTTAATGAAGATAGTAATACCCTTGAATCAATAAGTTCAACTTTAAGTGGCACAAGAAAGTAAGAGGAAGTATCTCAAAAGTTTTAAAAAATGATGCACAAGTGATGAAACAACAACGTCAGTGTTCTATTACAAAAAATCATAAATTGGTTATTTGAATTAAGTTTATCATCTTTTTAAAATGAGTGTATTAATTTTATTCTTTATCTTTCATTGCATGTTTTAATTTATTTTGTTGAAGGACATGCTTCTTTTATGTTTTCTATTGGTAATCTATTGAAAGTTCATTGACTACATTCTCAAACCCAAGTGCAAATAAAAGTGCAATGCAAGTGCAAGTACAAAATTTGATGGAAATGATGCAAGTATTGCAACTAATTAGATTATGTAAGATTGAAAATAACTTTCTTTCTTTTAAACATTTATTAATTACAATTGATTTTTTCCATCAATTGTACTAATATATTGTTTTCTTGTACTTTCTTTTCATAGGCTTAAACCTTGGTGCCTTGAAAAAGTTAATGAGTTGTAGGCTGCCAAGCTTGCCTTGGAGGCTTGAAGCCTTGAACTATATCTTTTAAACTTTTTTATGGCGATTGTATAGCTAACTTGGTTATTTAAACTAAGATTGAATTTGATATATGCTAGCATGTTTTTTTTTTTTTTCCTTTTTGGTTTTGTTGGGTTGATAGTTTAATGTGATTATGTGTTTTTTTATCCTTCATTAATTGTGCTTGGGGAATTATTAGATAGTTCATGTTTTGATTAATAAGAGAAACAATGAATAGGTAATAACTTCAACATCTTTATGTTTGTTTTTTCAGAGTACAGTTGCAAAGGAGTTTTATTAATTATGTTTTAATTTTTCAGGTTGTTGGTTTGGTCTTGGGGGAAAAGTTTTTACTTGTTGCCATGAAGATTAAATGACCAGCAAATTAAGCACACCATGGTGGAAACATTAACATGTTGTGCTTGATTTGATTATCCAAGACTCTTATGATCATTCATTATTCACTGAAACTTCAAAGTTGATTATTTTATTCATGGGCCCAAATATCTGCAAATAGTATTCGTTTCATCCAATTATGTTGATTTTGGACTAGGTGGCTTATGTTTCATCAATGGAATGGTACTGGTATGTTGCTATTTTTTGTTAGTTACAACCGTTTTTCTCAGAAGTTATAAGTCTGTAGTGTCATTTTGTTTTGTAAGGAAATTGGTTGAGAAAATAAAAAGTGAGTTATTGAAATTAAAATTTTCTTCCATAAAAAAAAAAAAAAAAGAATAGATAAAACATGCAATGAAACAAATTTCGTTTGGTAATTGAAAGCTTTTTTAGATATCTAAAGGAATGTATTTGGTTATTTACAATGTCACATCATCCCCAGTCATGGTCAAGCCAAAGGCTTCTATTTGTTTCTCATATACGCATTGTAGTTGACGTCAAAATAGATGTTACCTATGAACCATTTGCTTTATGAATGTATTAGCAAAACACTTTGCTAATCTATGCACCCAATCTGTAGTAGCATCCAACTCTTCCATCAATTGTTATCTCCCTCATTTCAAATATGTGTCGCCATAAACCTAGGTTGTTGTTTTAAATTAGTTAGAAGCTTACTTGCTTTAAGTTAAACCTTGGGAAATATAATTCGCTTGTGTAGGAGTCAATTTGAACAAGATGCTCATCTAAAAAGAAATTTAGCCTCTCTTATTAAAAGTCTAAAGCTACAAGGGCTTTCTGTTGTCGCCCTTATCCATTCTCTCATAATGTGTGGACTAGGTTTAAAGCATTGAACGCAGAACATGCATTTCTCAAGTGTATCTGTGTGCATCTCAACGCCAACTACCTTACACGTTTACTATAGGTCATCCTTCCCCCCTTTTTTTTAATCAAAGTTATAATTTAATTATCAAGAAAAAGACTATTTTTAAGGCATAATTATGCAGTGAGTTATAAGCAATTTATGGGTTTATTCCTGTTATTTTTCCTTGAATGATTAGTCAAGATTAATTTAGTGTGTATATTGCGATAATTAAGAGGTGACCTAGTGGGGTGGGACTTGCACAGGGTAACCCTACAATTAAGTTAAGAGGATCGATCACCCAATGACTAGAGGAGACATCCTTCCTTTGGCTAGTACACTTGATGCACATGTTGAATGACCAAAAATATAGGTTTCTCCATTGAGAAAAACAACTTTTATCTTGTAGAGAGAAACACAATAGCACAACCCAATTCCAATTACATGATATGGGCATTTATCAAAAAGTTACATGAGATGGGCTGGGTTAGGGGTTAGAAATAAAAGAAACAGTGTGTGGTGTAGTTAAGATTTTATCATTATTTAATTTTTTGCTTTGAAAAACCCTAAATGAATGATACATAGTAAGTAGGTCACGCCCTTGACAAGAGTATTTTCTATTAGTATATTGTTTGTTAAACATCAAGGCAATCTTTTCCCCAATTTGATAACTCATGTTGATATACAATGACAATTCACCCTTCTCATTTAGTTGTAGTCTGTAGACATGCAAGACTCCAATATGCCCAATTACCCCTTGCAGCAGCCTTCTTGGTTCAATCTGTTGGTAGTTATCAGATCCAACTTCAACTGCTTGTATTTATACAGGCTCTTTTGGCTTTGAAGATGTCAGCAAACTACACACCTTTGTATTTTTTTTCTAGAGGGGATGGGAGGGATTCAGGAGTTTTGTTTGAGAATTTCACCTGTCCACTAAGAGAAAGGTTCATGGAATCTTCATTTATCACACAGTCCCATTTCATTAGAAAACTTCAACTTTCTGCTAATATAAAAGGCACACATGCATTGGGGTGCAGACCTTCTATGACCTCCACTGGAGGTCTTATGTGTTATAAGTACAACAATAAATTATCTTGCATTTATTAGGTTGGTAGAATAATTTAAGGATGCTTATAAAAGATTTATGTAATTCAATGGGCCTAATTGGAGAGATGAAACTTATCGTTTAAATCACCACAAACTGTTATATAATACTCCAAGTGCAAATGCAAACACACAAGCTATGAAATGTTCTTGTGCGACCAAGGGGAAGAAACAAAATTAAATTAAATGCCATATAACAAAACCCTTAACTTGACATATAGATATAATGCTTCCATATTCAACAATCAATAGAGTTTGCTTGTTGTTTTTGCTATAAGATAGGGTAGGAATAATAGTAAAAAACAGATAGTCGAATTATATTCATATTTGAAAAGTCAAATTGGATAGAATATTTGACTTAATAATTGAAATCGAATTCGAACATGAGTTTTAGATATCCATTGGATGTCAAATAAAATTTCAATATCATGAACCATAGTTGGTTTCGAATTTGAATCTAGTTTATAAATATTTATGTCAATATTAATTTTTTTTAATTAAAATATAAATATATGCATTTATTTATGGATTTTTTTCTCAAATTGAAAACCAATATTTCTAAAATAATAAAATCAGAACAAACCAACCTGAATTAGCTTATTCGGGTTGGTTGGTTGGTTCAATTTTCGATTTGATAGTCGAATTTGAACACCCCTAATATCCTTGTTCTACTTGCCCGTGTTGGCTTGGTGTTTGTCTATGTCTATTATTAACTAAGCTTGACCATGCCTTTGAATTCCTAGTCTCCATAGACCTAGAGGGTTGTTCATCTACAAGGATTTTGGGTAGGGCTCGAATGTTGGAATGTCAAGTTGCTACAAAATTGCCTCAGGTGGTCAAAGCATCGGGGCAATTGTTCAGATTAACAGACATATTTCTCAGCATGTCCAAATTAAGCAGCAATGAAGGTCATGCTAGAATCTCCTACAAAATATGAATGTTCATGCACTTGCTAATGATTGAGCTTGCAAAAAAGAATAGTTCAATCACCACGAGAGACATTGTATGTGCCAGGAGAGGTGGTATATCATGTTCTTGGTACTTCGGTTATCCACAAGAGGTGGTATATTTGTGACAAACATGTATGGTGGTATATCATCATCATAGCATGAAATAAGGTTTCAAAAGTGATTTCCAAACTTTATACTAGCTCCTATTATGCATGAAGAGCTAAAGGAGAGAAGATGAGAAAAGAACAAGAAGAAAATATAAGAGTCAAAATGTGTGGATGCATAGTTATCCCCCTTTTCCTAAAAAAGCTTTGTTATGTTTTAACTAAAAATAAAAAGTGAAGTAATGTCTTAGTGTTCATTTGGTTCATAGTTAGAATCATAATGATCTATTCCTCACTACAAGAAAAATGACTTAAGGTCCCTAAAACTGCCGCTAAAGACTTTACCGGCAGCCGGCGAACTACTATTAAAAGAACTGTCGCTAGATGTTCCAGCGGCAGTTTCCTTGGCTAGTGGTACAAATATAAAACTGCAGCTAAATATACTTTTAGCGGCAGTCTGCTAATACTGAATCGACTAGCGCGCTTTGTTTTAGCGGTAGCCGTGGACTTCTTTATTGGCAGTTGCGACTGCTGCTAAATCTTTTTTCTTTTTTTTTCATACAATCCGTAATTTCTTTTTAAATTTTTCCTGCTTTGCTTCAAATAACCTGTTTTATCTACATTCATCTAAATTAGAATGACATACAAAAATCAATACAAATGCAATTTAAAAGATCTATTTCCATTCAAAATATTTTTCTACCAAACAAAATTAATACATTCGAATCACATTAATACATGTTAAGTTTCAAATTGATTCATTCTCTACTACAATTTTCATCATCCATTCTCAAAACACTTGCGGTTGGTTGAACATTTGCCATGCAAAATGATTCAAATTGTGGCTCAGTAAAGTCTACAGTTTCATCCTCTAGATAATGGATGATTCCCAAAACCCTTGTCATCCAAATACCACCATTTTGTATGGAGAAGATAGCTTCATGATTCCCAAAACCCTTGGCTTGGTTTGATGTGGATGCTTCATCTTTATCACCTCCGACTTTTCCTTGTCCAATGGATGTAAAGAGTCAATTCAGGTGTAACTTCATCAATTGATGGTACCAAATCCTATGGATGTTCAGTTGATTCATTACATATCAAATCATCAGCAGATAACCCATGCTTCCAAGTGAAAAAGGTATTTTGTTTTTACGCTTGAGATGAATTCTATGTAAAGAAAACAAAGCTAGTGCATCTTATACCTAAATGGCAAAAAGACAGAATAAGAATTGTTCAATCCAAAGTTCAAGGGGGGAGATATTCTCTAGTCAGCTAGTTTGGTTAAACGGTGAATGGTACGGTACTTCTTGCAATCTTGTTACTTGGGTCGATCTTTAGAATTGCCCTCAAGTCTTCTGCCCCGAGTTTGTATTTTTTGGTGCTCTCATATAGGAGTGCACATTGAATTTTTCAGTGGCTTGATGAGGCTGCTTCTTCTGAGAAGCAAGTCCTTACCCGGGAATGCTATAATTATCAAAAAGTAGTGTGTTAGTCATCTGAAACACATGATACACAAATTCATACATATCAGGTGTTGCTTTTTTAACATTGGTTATAGGCATCTTTTTCCATTTCTCAATACTAATATCTTGTCAGTTTTCATGGTTAGAATGCAATAGTATAAATCTCAAAATGTGACGAACTTTTATATTTTCATATATGGAGAATATAATTGCATATCTCACAATATGTTCTTGTGTATTATATATCACAAAGTTAATACCTTCTCAATCAGATCCAAAACATCTTGGTTATCAACAAATTCTATGTAGCTCCAATTGATTTCCTCCTTGGTGTATTCTTCTTGTTCCATTTTAAAGACATGCTACAAACAGAAAACCACAATCAATAAATTTAATAAAGCAAACAACAAGCAATCTCCAAATAAGTGAACTGACTAAGCAAGCTAACAAGCAATCTCCAACCAAGTTTTCTTATTTTGATAGTTGTTTAGCAACAAAGATTTTTTTTTTTCAAAATGAATTTCCATACTTACCTATTGCACTTAAACCTTTCAAAACCATAAATATCAAGAACTCCAATTAATGACTTTGAGTTGGGATCCTGCCCAATCGAAATGTTGATTTTCTCCACAATCCTGTAAAAATATATAAACTTGTCATATACCCTAAAAACAATCTAAGAAACCACTTTGCAGAACTAAATCCACAAGCTTGTGTCCAAGATGAGAGAAAAGGAGGGAGTATTATTTAAGCTCTTACCAATCAAATAGACGTGAATATATTATTTTAGCTAAAGCATCTCTACTACCCACTGCAGCCACAAGATCGAGAGTTATTGTAATAACTTCTTTAGGTATCACCAAGACACGCTTTATAAGTGCATCCTCCAAGTTCTGGGCATTGCACCTGCTAGGCAACATAGATTAGTAGAAACATTATTTTCTTTATCATTAACAAATCAAGAAGCTTTATTAGAATACTAAGTATAGGTAAAAATAGCTAAAATATACTCCTCTTTAGGAGTAAGAAACTGAGCCATCTGGTCTAGCCACCCTTGGTTCCTCACAGGAAGGGTAGAACCCCAGAGTAACATAATCAAACAACCAAGAAAACAAAACAGGCAAATATTTCAAATACAGATATGGAATGGATTGGATGTACTTTAGAAGTTTAGCTGTCATTTTAAGATGGAATCTAGACTTTTCATCCTTTACAATAGAGGAATCAATCTCCTTTCCTTTAGCAAAATCAATATTACCAAGGTGAAGAATTGCTGCCACAACCCTAAAAATCACCTCCTGTAGGAAATATTTAAGATCAGGAATCTAATCAAACCATCAAAAGAGGTCCAAACAATTTTCTCTTGGAATTTAGAATCACTGGAAAGGTTCACCTGCTCTTGCTTGTTGATTCCAACAATGTCCATAGCCCTTCTAGTTGCTAGATATTCATGGGCATCATTTACTCCATCCAACACATAGCAATTGGATTGATTCAAGTAATGGAACGACTTAGGGCTTTCCAACTTATATTTCTCTATATCCTGCAAACTTAAATTGCATCCTTGGCATGTTGACAAATAACCTTTCCAACTATAAAAATTGTATTGGAATATATTAAAGCAAAATGGACAATAGTATGAATTCAAAAAAAAAAGCTAAAATGTATATACCTTGGGTGGTGCCCGTTCTTTGAACCCATTGCACTTACACTTGCACCAACACTCCTCTAGTTAACTATTTAAACTTCTTGATGTCATTCCTAAACCTCCACAGAACTTCTTCCTTGTTCCTCAACCAACCCACCACCACCTTAGAGTCCCCTTCTACCACCACCTTTTCAATCTTCATATTTCTTGCCTTTTGTACTCCTTGAATCATAGCCAATCATTCTTCCCTTAGAGAGATCCCTTCCTATTTATAGGCTATTTCTAGGACTTACACAGCCTGATTTTTTTTTTTTTTTGAAAAGTAAACGACAAGAATTTTTTTTAAAAGAAAAGAAGTTATAAAAGGGTGATAAGACAACACCCGAGAACAAAAAATACCAAACAAAACAAAAGAGTCATCTAGCAAACTAGATAACATGCTCTACATTACATATTTGATATCCTAGAACCTCTCCTAACCCACTCCAAAATCCTCCTTTTTTAATTGACTGACAAACTGTCTTAACAAGATTGGTTTATGATTTGACATTAGAGAAGGCATGGCTTCTTGAATCAGATTTCCTACATGTTTCTCCCAGTCCCCATAATGTACTTGTACTTGTGCTTCTACAGCTCCTGTAATCATGTTGGAAGCAGTAGACAACACTAATTGCAATAAGTTTAGCTTTATATACCCAGTGCCAAGCTTGGAAAAAGAAGAAAAGCATCACATGTCAGGGTGGTGCCTATGCCCACCATAACACATTTGCCAATTCAATTAATGCTCCTAATTACTTCTTTCAAGATACTTTCAGGGCATTTTATAAAAGTGACATTTTGCAGTACCGCTTAGTTACTTGTCAAAAACAAGGAAAACTCCAACCTTAAGACTTTCAAATAACATCCATGTTAAAATTGTTATAAATAGCAGCATACAGTAGCTCCCTGTTTCAACAAATCTTGTTTGCTTGAAAAAAAAACAGAGAAATAGTTCCATGGATCCAGGATTAAGAACCTATTAACATATTAAAACTGAGTCTAGCAGAGAAATTGGTTAATTCATTTTATGAATGTTGAATTTCTAAGCCGGTCTGAGTGTTCTTAAAGAAAACCAATCCATTCATCTCAAAGCTCAATTGGCATCAAATGAGTTCTTGGGAAAGGTGTCCATCCCAAAATATACATCATCGTGTTGCCTTTATCAGAAAGGGCTGCCCCAAAATATGATTAAAATCTAAGTCATTTTTATTAGTATGATTACAACCTAAATTCATCTCTACTCATAAGAACTAGAGCATGGTAACAATTCATATAACATGAAAATGTTTATTTGGAAGTAGCATGAAAGGACAAAAGAATATCTCGTTAGGAGAATCATCAATGGTCTTTCTGATATCAATAATTGGTGTTTCAGCAAAAAATGTAAAATCCATTTAAATAAATGCTATAAAATCTAAAGGATGTTAGATTGCTTATAAATAGAATATAGAGAAAATGATTACGTAAAAAGTATAATTACTTGTAACAGTAAAACGTTGTGCACAGTCCTCCACTTCTATTGCCACTTGAACAAGGCCACCTTCTAATTGTGATATCCATGGTGGAACAAGAGCATCCTGCATTTGTTAAAAATAGAAATCAACAGTAAAATCTGAATGCCCTTCTTATTACCCACAATTCCACCATCCAATACCTACAGAGGGAGATCTTCCCCCTATAACCTCTTCCTCTCATATTTATCACCACCCCTCTCCCAAGCTTCCTACTACACCTCTCTTAACTTTAGGCTCCTTCAACGCACAGGAATTCATCAAAACAATTTTTCCATTCCCCACACCATGGCACTACTTGATTAGAACCCCTCCTATTCTTCCTGCTTCTCCAAATGTCTGGTTCCAAACTCCAAGGTTCTATCCTCCTAAATGCTTCGCAAGCAAAATTATTTTGGCATATAATTTTGGGCAAAGTTTCAAAATTTTGGCATATAATTTTGGAAATTTTAACAAGGAAAGTGAGCTTCTCTTTTATCTTATAGATATTTTAAACAAATACACATTAGAGATATCTTTTTTGAGATTTGGTACAAATCATTACTATTGTCTTCAAATTATTTTTGCTATAGAAAACAAATTTAAGTTTTTTATCAGTGAGAGAATTCATTGAATTAGATATGAAAAGTGTACCACTACTCTCCAATGACCATGGGAGAGCTGGATGGAGCAAAGTAGCCATTGGCTGAACACATTCACATAGTAAACTAATATATAAAGTATGTTTAACTAAGATGGTTAAAATTTTAACTTGTTTCACTAAACAACCAGATTAGGAAACCCACTAGAGCTAGTCGGGTCATTTAGCAAGAGCTGGTTCAGATGAATCCCCAGCCACCCGTGTCCTGAGGACACCACAATTATGTTACTGCACTAGATGGTATTTTTGTATGTCCTCCAATCATAAACCAACAACTAGGGGTGTAAACGGATCGAATTCGGATCGGATAAGGCAGTATCCAAATTCAAATCCGGTTAGAAAATCTGATATCTGAAGTCGATTCGATATCCAACGGATATTGAAAATTAATATCCGAACTCGAATCCGATTAAATATTTGAATATTCGATTCAATTCGAATTTGATTAATTAATTATTTTAGATAATTAATAAATATAAAAATAAATATTTTATTGATATAAAGTATATAATATATAAATTATATAAAATATTTTATATATTGTATATAAGAATTAAATAATTGATCGAATTCAGATATTTATCGAATCAAATCAGGTCATATCCGAATTCGATTCGATTATGTCGAATATTGAATTTGAAATCGGATTTTCGAATACCGTTGACACCCCTACCAACAACAATCAATTAACAAATTAAAACATAAGGGCGTAAGTTGTCCTGGAGCCTATAAGAGCATTTTCTAGTGTAGCATAGAGAATTTGTGAACAAGACAACATTACTTACTTTATATTTATGTTAGCTTTCTCCATAACCCAAAGAAATGAAAAAATGATAAAAATAGAATTACTAAAACCGACATAACCATCAAGAAGACAGTACATAATGGAACTGACTTGGTTGAATCCTGATTTAAAAGCTTCTACTTGTTTGATGATTCCACTATTCACAGTTGCATCCACAGTGAGAGAAACATATTCTTCCAAATTATCCATATTTACCTAGGAAAGATTTATTTGAAGGAATAATTCCACACTTTGGAATAGCATAGTCTCTATAAAGAACAAGAACCAAATGATAAAGCATGACATACAATTTTATTGTCAGGTTCAGAACCAAGAATATGATTTGGATATCCAGGAAGAGTAAACTCAAGGCAAAGATCTTCAATTCTGGTATCACGGAAACATGAGTCAGATATAAAATTTGTGCCTTTCTCAAAAATAGAGTCCATTTTTTTTTCTGTCCACAAGGGCCTGAAACTCTAGCAACGTTCTTCCAAACACTGGATCAAATGATTCATGATTGAATATCATATATATAGAGTTCCTAAAAAAGATGAAGAAAATAATCAAAATCATTCAAATTTAACATTATTTTGGTGGGAAGATGCAAATCAAATGCCCTGAGTAATTAGACAGAAAGATAACCTTTTCAAGAATAAATTTATAAAAAGGCTTTGGAGAAGGGCAAGTCCAGAACTCTTCCATCTTGTAGAGCCTTTGCTACAATCTTCCCAAGAAGGACAAACTTTTTGATCACTTTCGAAACCAGTGTCTTGTCCAATGCACTCAATGAAAGAGACCATGGACGAGGGAAAAGTCCCGGATGAGCTGCCATAAATCCAGAACTATTATCATCCAAGCTTTTCCTTGTAGTGGGAGTAGTATGATCCTCTCTCCACATACCCAGGCCAGCCTTCTGAAACTCATGCCTAATAAATTTTAACAAAACAGACTTGGAAAACAAAATAATATAAGAAACCATCAAATTCATACCAAATCCAACACGACTAAACCCAATCTTATAAAATCACACATAAGTAGTACATAACCATGCACCTGGCCTGAAGTTAGCACCAAGCTAGATTGAAAATGCTAACGAGCCAAAGAAGCCCACGATATGCAATAATAATATAACACCGGCAATGAGAGAGCTTTATGAGACTCTTCCTCCCTTTCAGCACCAAGTACTCAACAAATGGAACCAAATGAAACGTTATATCAAAACCTATGGCGACCGAAGAGCAAACCAGAGAACCTCGAGTTTTTATCCCCTAAGTTGGCAGAGAAATTGGAGGCCGAAGAGAGAGTGTGTATGTGGGAATTGTGAGACTTCTTCCAATTCTCCAATCCTCTCCCACCAAGAAAAAAAATGGATTATGAAAATCATGACCTGAAATCTGCGCCTGGACGATTGAATGAATCTGTGCCAGAGGAAGGGTGAAGGTGTCGATTCTATTTCTAGGTTTTACAGAGAGAGGGAGAGAGGGACGATTGAGAGAGAAGGAAGGACGACTATGATAGGGAGGGCGAGAAGAGGCATGAGGGAGGAAAAGTGAAGATAATATATGTAGTGGCATTCGTTGGGTCTCTAGCAACAGTTTTAATGGACTACCGCTAAATATAAATTCCAGTAGTATCAGTATTTCTAATACAAGGTTCTAGTTTGTCTTCTCTAGCCTATTACCATCTTACAACTTGTAGGGAATTTGAATGAAAGCATATCCTAGAAATGTTATTGATTGGACATCTAAGTAGAAGGGACAATGGAAGATTTCAAATTCCATGATGCAATATCCTGCTTTGGAATCCTATCAAAAACTTCCCTAGCAACATCTATTCCGCCACATTTTGAATACATGTCAATCAATGCATTTCCAAATAAGGTATGGTATATATATGCATGAACAATCAAGTACCCATGGCCTGAGCATCCTTGTTGCAAAGCAGCCAAATGCGCACATGCGGGAAGCACTCCAAGCATGGCCTGAGCATACTTGAATTTAGGATGATTGCACCATAAGAAACAATATCTTTTGTCTCCATTTCATTGAACATCTACATAGAAAGAAAGAAGTGAATTCTCTACCTAAAGAAAGCCTAACTTAATTGTATAACCTCTACTGATATCTGACAGCTTTGCACAAGCTCTAACAACAATCCATAGTGTAGCTAGTGTTGGATCCATTTCATCCTGATCCAACATCTTCAATGCCTTTCCCATACAACCACATGAAAATCTAGTTGCTCACATTTTGCATACATATCTAGGACCACAGTTCCCACTTTGGACATCTTTATCAAAAGTCCTTGTAATGCAATATAGTGCATGCTTTTTCCACGACAAATGTGGAAGTGTCAATTGAAACATAGATATCAAAAACAATATAATCTTAGGGGCGGAGCCAGGGGAGTATGCCTTGAACATTCTTATAGTAACTATTTAAATCCCACATATATTTTGCTCCTCTTACCCATGTTTCTTATCTCTTGGCCCCCCATCCATGTTTATTACACTTTGGCCCCCTCAATAAAAAAATCCTAGTTCCGCCCCTGTATAATCTCCATTATCAAGTATTCTTAAGATTGGGGTCTGTCCTATAGATCTCTACAAGTTTTAGTATGACAAAGATAGAAGAAAATATAAAATAGTGTAAATTATTGCCTGCTTGAAATAGGGATGGGCCCATCCAAGCTTTAAATCCTTAAAGCCTTCATTCATGGAAGGATTCAACAGTTTTGATCAAGACAAGAATAATATTAATTTAAGAGGGAAGTTGTTTCATTGTACATTCATATTACTTACATGCTAAAAAGCAAATTTGGATTGTCCTTGTTGTAAAAGCTTTTCCCTCAAGTTCAAACCAAATGCTTGCAAAAATTAAAACCCAAATAATAAAACTCCTTTGAAACTATACTCAAAAAATAAAAATAAACATAATGATGTTAAAACTCAAAAGTATTACCTGTTCATTGCTTCCCTTATTAATCAAAACATGAAATATTCAATACTTACAATAAGCATAATCAATTAAAGAGAATGAGAAACATAAGTTACTTTATTACTTTAGATTATACTTCAAACCATATTCATCAAAGTAGCAAAACTAGAGACTCACATAGCCACACTAAGTGTCAACCCAACAAAACCAAAAAAAAAAAAAAAAAAAAAAAATAAAAAACATTGTTTATCAATAATGAAAAACTTTATTAAGAGAAAAAAAAAAAAAAAAAAAAAAACTAGCATATATGAAAATCAGTCCCAAATAGTTTAAAATAACTAATTTAGCCACACAACCACCAAGGCAAATAACCAATTAACTTGTTCAATCCTCTAAACTATCCTTTATGCAAATGACCAAAGTTAAAGCCTACAAAAAAGAACAAGAAAAGTATAAACCACATGTTAGTCCAAATCTTATAAAACATCAATCATAATTCATAAATATTTAAATGAATGAAATTTATTTTCAATCTTACATATGCTAATTGGATGCACCACCTGCATGAGCACCATTTCCATCAAAATTTGCACTTGCACTTGGATTTGATGATGGAGTCACCAGACTTTCAATAGATTTATGAACAGGAGATATAGAAGAATCAGGTACTTCATCAAAATAAACTCAAACATGCAAAAGAGAAACAAAGAATATGATTAATACACTCATTTTTAAAATATAATAAACTTAGTATCAATATATATATATATATATATATAGAGAGAGAGAGAGAGAGAGAGAGAGAGTGTGTGTGTGAATGTAGTTACTTACATGGAGTTTTTGGTTTAGGATGTGCTTCAATCCAATATTGTGCACAAATGAAAGTCTCCACCATTTCTGGAAGCAATGAACACCAATAAGGATCCAACACTCTACCACCTATACTGAATGCTAACTTTAGTACTACAGTGATTACTTGAATTACTAGGACATCACAAGTCATTTTTGAAAGAATTTTGAACTTAGAAGAATTAATTGACCACCAATTTAGCACATTAAAGTCCAGCATTTTGCACCATTTTTGAAAGCCTTTGATATACTTATTCTTGCTCTCTTGCATCACACCCAAAATTGAACTTGTTGTGGATGATTTAAGGGGACTACTCTCTTCATTAGGAGTTGATGAAGTATCATAATTTGCATAGTGAGAGTAAATGTTATAAAGGCATTCACGCACTTTTGCAACTTCATCTTCTCCCGCATAATCATAAACCCTATATAAATTATACCTCACAAATGCCAACTTGTATATTGAATCAAGAACCACTACTACTACCAAAGGTAAATTAACCCCATCCTAATATTTCTTGAACTTTCCCAACATTTTTCCAGCCATTACTTAAATATAATCATACTTGCTCAATAGTCACTCGTCAATCTACACGCGAATCTCATAAATATCAGGAGAAAAAAAGGTGGATGTTGGATATGTAGTCCTTGAAAATGCATTAGTTGCCTTATAAAAATATTACAAACATTCACAAACATCTTGATTAATATCCCACTCCCCAGAAGATGGATTAAGATTATATTCTTTATCAATTTGTTACAATTGAGTAAATGCATCCTTATACTCAAGTGCAGTTTTGAGCATATCATAGGATGTATTCCATCTTATAGGGCAATCTAGAACCAACTCCTTTTTACTATGATATTTAATTTATTTTTTGTCATTTCAAGTTTCTTTGGCTTGAACTTGTAGATATTTGACTGATTCTCTGATTTTTCCCATCAAGTGCCTAACAACATCCAACCCATTTTGCACAATGAGGTTCAAAACATGTGTTGTACAATGCACATTAAACAATTCTCTTGACAATTGAAGTTTACCCTGCCCAAAAAGCCACTCCTTTATGTTTCTAATTATAACATCATTCTTATAAGCATTATCAACAGTGAAAGCCATCGCTTTACTATCAAGGTTCTAATGCAAAATAAGATACTTGATGATTTTAGTACGGTCTAAAGCATATCATGCTTATCTCTAACAGCTCGAGAACCTATAATCTTCTTTCAATTGCCACTTATCATCGATGTAATGTGCAATTAAACAACAATGCCAATATTTTGCCCTAATGTTCACATATCAGTAGTGATACTAACCCAGGAATGAAGCATATCAAAATTGCCATAAAACTTCTCTTTCTCGTCCTTATAGATTTTCATGCAATAATTCATAATTGTGTTGCATGAAACCATTTTAAACATAGAATTAAAACCAGTAGCCCAAATCTCAATAAACTCATACTCTGCCATTCTAAATGGTTGGTTATGTTTGATAGGTATTTTGCAAAGTCATATATATTCTTTATAAGGACCATATCTCCATCCCTCAAGTTTGTGGGTTGACTCACTTACATTTGTAGAAATTGCCAGCATTTGTTGTTCAATTTCTCTTTGTCCTTTTGGTAATCTTCGTAAGCATTCTGAAACATGATTAACTAGATGTGTGGTCCCACTAGTGCTTAATGCATTAAAATAATCTTGTTTACAATAATTACAAACACCTCTTTTTCATTTTTTTACATTAAGGACTATGTCAAAATTGTTCCACACTTAAGATGTTCTTTTTATTTTTTTTAGGACCAATGGGGGAAATGCAGCACTAGGACTATTCACATTTTCACCATTTTCCTATTGGCATTAGGTTTAATGCTAGATTGAGAATGACATATTTAATATTTTTTTTTCAAAAGTAAAAATGGAACCTAAATAAAGATTGTCCAAAATAAAGTTAAAAAATATTAGAAGTTTAAAACTAGCAATGTAAATGAATAATCATAAAATAAAAATATTGAGAAATGAGGAAACAATAAATATTCACAATATCATTTATGAATTAGGACAAAAAAATTGCAACATAACTGCTGTCTACATGATTGTAAATCTGTAATCTAGCATCTTTAAAGATAGAAAATCTAACTACAATATCATTTAGGAATTAGGTTTAAGAAAAAAATCTATAATCCAAGCATCTCTAGAACTAAAAAAATATAATGAAGTGCTTCTCATTTGTGACTAAGAATCAATAAACCAATAAACCATTTAGGAATGATATTATCTAGCTTATAACTAGAAAGCAATAAACCATTATCTAGATCAAATGATATTAGGATTAGGATAAAAAACCTATAGCATAACCATAAACCAATAAACCATTATCTAAATCAAACGATGTTAGGATTGGCACAAAAAAAATCTATAGCATACTAGCATAACCGTAAACCATAAAATCATTATCTAAATCAATGTCAATCTATAATCTATTCTATAGGAAAATGAACATTCTTCATCGGCATTCAAAAATCAATTTACCTTGAGAAAAGAGGTAGGGGATTGAGATGGAGATCATAGACATTGTAGGCAGTGGGCCAAGTGTGATGGCGGCAGTCATGCGTTCAACTAGTGCGAATGCGATGGTAGTTGTGGTTGGTGATGCTGAACTTTTGGTAGAACAACACTCTCGCAGTATTTGCTTGGGTTGAGGGCCTTGAGGCGCTGAGTAGTATAAAAGGATATGAGTTAGAGTCTTAGAGAGAGAGAGAGAGAGAGAGGAAGAGATGATATGCGGTAGTGGCCAGTGACCGATGTTTAACCATCGCCATTGACATTGCCATTGATGATGGTGGTTACTCGGGCAACGGTGATGCTGAGTCGAGACTCAAAAGAGGAGAGGTAAAAGGAGAAAATGAGAGTCAGGAGAGGAATGAGGAGAGGCAGAGGATTAGGGGTGGTGGCAGGTGACCGGTACTCGATTGCCGACTGCCGAGTTGTTGATATGGTTGTGATGGTGGTTGCTCAGGTGATGATGACGAAGGGAGGGTTTGAAAGGAGATGGAGACCGGAGAGGTTCAAATGTTCATGTTCATTTGATTCAATGAGAATTGAGAAAGGAGATTCAATAATCTCAATTTTTTATTTACTTTTTTAACCTTCTTTACATAATTGGTTCGGATATTTATCAGATCATATCAATGCATATTTGAATTTGATCGAATATTCGATTTGAATTATCCGAATTCGATTATATGCCGAATCTTGGATTCAAATTTAGATATTCGAATAGCGCTTACAGACCTACTAACAAATTAGAAGATGGTTAAAGCTAAACCTTTCCAAAACCAAACATAAGATATGAACATGATATAACTAAGGCTATTTTTGGTATCAATGCCATTTTCTCACACAATAGCCACACCTTGAAATTCAATATAGTTACTCATTTGCAAATTTCAAATTGATATTTAGTGTTAATGAGGAACCATTAGGTGTACATAGGCAATAAAGAGAAAAAATGTTTCTATTGTAAGAAACATGAGAATGATGTTTTCTTCAAAGGTGGCTCTCATATTGCTCAATGCTCTTAATGTTGCTTTAAAGAATGCACCATATCAATGGACCTTGAAATACATGGATATAGTCATAGAGATATTTTTTTGGGGGGAGGGGGGTTAACAACATCCATTTGATGCCTATAAAAACAAAAAAGAAGTTATACAACCCAAATTGGCGAGCTAGATGAAGGGATGTGATTCAGTGACTTGCAAGTATGAAAGGCCAAATGCCTCGAGGTGGATCCCTAGGGAGAGACTCCGATGCTCAAGTTAGTAAAGTTAATGAGGATGGTCGAGTAGGTTGAGTTAAACTAGTGAAACCGAGTTAGTTGTATGAGTTGTGCTTGTGAATGAAAGATGAATTGAAGAATGCTAGGAAGGTTAATTAGATGGCAAGTGTGCAAAGAGTCTTACCTTGGTTGGTATTCTCTTAAATAGATGTCTAAGGAGCCATTGCACCTCCTATCTATGAGACATGTGTCATCCTTTCAAAGGGTGTTTGGTTAAGTCGTTCCTTGATGTGGCCTTCACATTTCGCCATAAACAAGATGAGGAGAGTTCAAGCCATTGCAATACTTGAATGGTTGGAATCGAGATTTGCTCCTTAGACAATGCACCTCATAGCCCCATCCCACCTTGTAGGGGTGCAAACGATATTCGAAAATTCGATATTTGATATAATCAAATTGAACTTGGATAATTTGAATATCTAGTCGATCAAATTCGGATATTCTATTCATACTGAATAGTTAATCAGATTCGAATTCGGATATGACCTGATTCGATTAGATAAATATCCGAAATCGACAAACTATTTAATTCTTATATATAATATATAAATTATTTTATATAATATATATATATATATATAATAATTAAGTTATATAAATAATTTATATATTTATATATTTTATATCAATAAAATATTTTTATTTATTAATGTTCTAAAGTAATTAATTAATTGAATTTGAATCGAATCGGATATTCGAATATTTAATGGGATTCAAATTCGGATATTAATTTTCAATATCCATCCGATATCAAATCGAATTCAGATATCAGATTTTCTAATCGAATTCAAATATTGCCTATTCGATTTGAATTCAATCCCTTTACACCCTACCACCCTCTATACTGATGTGTGGCGCGGAGACTCGTTGTAAGGCTGGTGTGAGGAGCACTTTCTGAGAGCAGATATATACTCGAATAGTTTGCCTACAACTTGCCAATGTCTACAACGTGTCCCACTACGGAAATGACACGTGGTGTTTCCTCCCACCAAATTGCGAGTCATGGAGTTAGGGCCGACACATCACAGATATTCAACTTGTACACGTGTCGGTTCTTCATTGGACATGGATTATAGGTGCACCAAGAGTATCGCCCATATTGACCCACACGGGGAAATCGGGTGTATCCAAATTTTGTCATTTTGACCATACAATATGCATAGTCAGGGAGTCAGGGTGGAACTAGCAGTCACGTGCCCACGGACCCGAGGGTCCGGAGCTGTATTGTTGACGTACAATCACTATACTACTCAGTACTCCATCAACCAAATCAAATTACAACTTACGGGCTTCAAGGCCATTGATGAATGATCTTTAGGGTGGGCCACATGCTGCCACAAAAATTTTCAACTCTTCATTTCAAGCTAAAAAGATTCCAATCGATTGGCGAGAAGGCAAAACTTGTCTCACTGGAACGATGTGACAACATGACGTACAGTGCATGTATTGATACTGATAGACCTCTACAAGTACCTTAAAACCTTACATACTTATTAATTGTGCGACATGGCAGGGAGGCCCGATAGTCTATTAGCCCATTGGCCCAGTAGGCAGTAGGCCTTCAGCCTACTTACTTGTCGACTTGTCGTCATTAGAGAGTCTCCGGAACGTGTTTTTTAACGCGCGTGGGAGTAGAAAATTGTAATACTCTTTAAATTACGTATTTTACCGCCCGAATGGGTGTCATGCATGGTAGATGCTTCTGGATTGATGCTTTTTCCATGTCTCATGCATGCATGTTGTGTGATGTTGACGGCTCCTTCCTTCGTTGTGATTTATTTGGAATCTCTGTTTTTTAATTTTTTTCCTTAATTTAAAATTTAAATCGCATCTACTTTATGACGCTGTGGCTGTTCTCGGGTTGATCGGACGGCACCCAGCCAGCTATCTAGTGATTCGTGAATCCACAGAAACCGTCCAATGTATGACTATTAAATGACGTGGAGGCCACAGCGCCGTTCCTTTTTCTCTTGACCTTTTGGCTTTCTTGCAAGAGCAACGTTTTTTTTTTTGCTTTTTTCTCTTTCTTGTATTTCCCTCCGCTCCTCCTCTTTTCGCGGCCTTTCTTCTTCTGATCCTTCAGCTCCAGGGTTCTCCCGGTTCCCGTCCAGGCTTAAAGCGGCTTCTATGCCAGTAGGCCTATATCTATACTGGTTTTCCGTTTTTCTCAGAGGTGGTTTCCCGGTGGTCCGACTCCTTGTTTGGATCGAGCGGTATCTAGGCTGATCTGTTAGTCTAACCGTAGCTATTGCTTTTCGTAATCTAAAAGGGTTTTTTTTCCCCGGTCTTTCAGAGCTTTTTGCCGGTGGACTTCCTTTTCTTAGAGGCCGGTTTTGGTTCCGGATTTGAAGCGGGTTCTCGGCCGATCTATTCGCGTAGGAGGATCTTGGTTCCGTTCCGGATTAGGTTGTTTTGGAGGCGGTGTTTGACCTCTAAGAGCGGATTTCGGGTGAGGTCTCGTAGATCTGTCTCAGCCGTCTTTCGAACTGGAGGGAAGAAATCAAGGATTCTTCATTGGGGATTTCTGGTGTGATCCTATGGCTGCAAAAACACAGCCCGAGAAGCGTATCCTTGTTCTCTGTCTATGCGTATTTCCTTTTGTAATCTGAGTTTATTGTTTTGTTTAAGGGTCTTCTTCTTCACAGTTTTGTGTGGATTTGTCTTTGGAGTTCTAAAATTTTGATCTTTTGCATTCCACCTATGGTTCCTTATGCTTTCTTTTGCTTGGATTTGCCACTCTGTTTTACTTTCTGGATCTAATCCTCTATTTTTTCCCGATATGTTCTTTGTTATTTTTCCGTATCGAATTTCTCGTGTATTATTTTTTCGTATTTTTACCTTTCTCTTTCTTTTGTTCTTCAGTTTTTTATTGGTTTTGGAGGGTTCAAGTTTATTTACAGTTTCTTACAAAATAAAAGACCCCTTGATTTACGGTTTTTGCTCACCCGCCCATGGCTTTCGGATGGGTTTTTCTTATACAACAATCTTTCAGGGGTCGTAAAATTTCAGAGATCCCACTGCGTCAGAGCCCTTGATTGCGTAACGTCTGTTGCTTTATACGTTGATGAAAGATCATTTTATGTGCGTTTTATTGATGGCTGAGTTACTTACCTGGTCTTTTACAATAATATGTGGTGTCTGTTTTTTTTTTTTTGTTGGAAATGTTTCTCTTGTGCGTACTAAAAGAAATCAGCCCAGATGGGTTATTTTGTTGTTTTTCATGTTTGAGCCTTGACTTGTTTGTTATCAGCTCTAGATGAAACCACCAAGAATCGTAAAGTCGATCGTTCTAAACCCAGTGATGCCAATCTGGTATGAGTTCAATTGTGAGTCTCTTTTTGCGTATGATATATATGTTTTTTATTTTGTAAGTTATTGACCAATTGCTTCTTCTGGCTGCTCGTTTTGGAATCGTTTCTGGTTTATATCAGGCTTCTTCAAAAGATGGAAGCCCATCTGATGCAACATCGTGTATATCCTCTGGGGATGTAGCAGGGAGTATCAAGGAAGGTGACTTGGATCGTGAGTCTCTGGTGGCTGAGCATGGCATGTACTATCCGGCTGGCAGCTATTATGGATACTACTATCCAGGTTCGTCAAAATTAAGAATAAAAAATCTGGTTTTATTTGCGTTTATTTATGTGATCTGACAGTACTATGTAAACAGGTTACGATGGTTCTCTTGGAGAATGGGATGATCAAGGATACTTCATAGGAAGTGACGGTCTAGAGGTTCAGTATCCTGTAAGTTAATTAAGCAGCCTGCACTTTTTGATGATCCGTGTGGGGGAAGTGGTTGATGCATTAAGTGGTCTTTTGCATTCAAGTGTTGCTTTGCTTATTCGTTGTTTCTTGTTTGTCTTCTAAGGATTACTTGGTTTAGTTTTATTATATGTCTGTGTGTGTTTTTATATGTATTGCAAGTTCTAACGTCTATCAAACATTGATCAAAATTCAAGAAGTAAGGTTATGTATGGAATTGCCTCACATTAGAGTGAAATTGATGCTTTCAATTCTTTACATTTAACATGAATGAATTGATATTTTGTTTTGCAGCTTTTGTAATTGGGCCAAGCTATCTTTCTTTGGGCTTGCCTTGTTCAAATTTGGTTTAGCTACTAGCCATGCATCTTACAAAAGGGATTCATATATTTTCACGTATCTTTATTGCAGTTGTGCATCCTGCGTCTTTGAATCTTTTTGCTCCCTTACATGGTTCTGATATTTAATATTTGTACTTAATGATGGGAATATGGTTGAGGTAAACTTTGCTTATAAAAATTTAAAAACATAGTTGAATCAAGTGTTACTATTTATTCTCCTTATCTTATTGTATTGTGACCCTTTTAATTACCATGTTGCATGTGATAAGAGGAAGTTTTACGCGTATGTACTTTGAGTTAGGTAGCTTGGTTATTTCATGAGGTAACCAGGATACTATAACATGAGGAGTGAGAACTACTAAGGTGGGCATTTCATTATGAAAGAAATGGAAGCCTTAGTGCTTCGGGTATGGGAGTGTCATTCCATGATTGCAAGGGTGATATTTTTTACCAGTAACATAAACAGAGATTTTGCTAGATGACAGAAAGCCTTACATAAGTACCTATATTCTCAATTTCTTAAGAATGTAGGATATATCCACAAGAAGAGTTGAAACTGACACCGAATGGTGATAAAAAGGAAAAAATTATACAGCTGTTACAAAGTTATTCTCGGCCTGGTTCCCCTTAGTCTGCCTGGTTTCCGGTAGAACCTTGCTTTTGCCAATGCTTCAACCACACTATTAGAAGACTTGGGATTCCACCTGAATGAGCGGTTCAAGTGAAGGCTTAGTATTTTTTACCTCCTTTATCCTGAACCTTAGGGGCCATGGACCATCAGATTCTGGTCTGAACCTGGTTACTACTTTGAAGTTCCTTCACTGACAAAACGTCTCCAATCCAGTGATTTAAAAGGCACGCCTCTAACATGGGATTCCACCTGAATTCAAGTGAAGGCTTAGGTGATGTTTGGTACTGTTTATGTTTATTCAGTAAACGTTTATTGATGATGCCACTTAGGCGCCATCTCAGCATTTTCTCTCTCTTGCTCTTCTGCATACATCGAAAATGTAAAAGGTGAAGTTTGGTTTATGTGCATGCCAGCCGTTTGTAGAAGTTATTTTTTGAAGCTTCCACAAATGGCCAGGCGTTTATTCCCTGATACGCTGAAGTGGTGCCTAATGGTGCCTAGTGGTGCCCAGTTGTCATAAACGGTTGCAATTATTGCATTTCTCGGTTTTACCAGCAAATAAAGTACAAACATTTATTCAATAAACATAAACGGTGCAAACACATACTTAGTATTTTTTCCTCCTTTATCTATTGTAATAGGCATTGCCTATTAATTTTCAAGTTCAGTTTGTGGTTTCATAAATAATGTCTAGATTTTAGTAAATAGGCTCTTCCCTCAGTGTAGATTATAGTTATTGTTATTATTGTAGGAAGCAAAAAGTGAATATGGATAAGCATATTGACCATCTTGTAAAATTGTGGAGAGTTTTAATTTACCATAAAAAACATTTGGTTAATTGGATATTTGTAAAGGGTTTCTAGAGATGGCTTCATGGACACAAACAGAGTCATGGTGGTAAATGTGCATACTACATAACACTTTATTAATATTGGTTCCTGTATTCTTGATATGGATGTCAGGGTTCTCTATATGTTGGCATATTTTAGGATGCTTTGATTCATGTCTTTAGTTGGTGATGGTTAGATTGGTTAGGGGAGTTTGTCTTGTTGAGCTAGGTTTGCGGTCATAATAACAGGTTTGGTGTTTCTGGTTGAAGTGGTGTTGCAATGCACTGACGTTGTGATTGAGTTCAATGAAAATGGGAACTTGTGTTAACATTCTCTTTATTTTCCTTCCAGGCAATACAAGCTGATAATGGATCTCTTATCTACTATACACCAGTGCTTCAACCTGGTTTCGTTCCTTATGGTTCATACTTGCCTGGAGCCACAGTTGGAATTGATGGTCAGTATTTGGGTCAACAGCCATACTTTCCAAGTCCTGTGTTTCCACAATCCATTCCTTCCCCTGGATATTTTCCAAATCCTGTCCCTTTTGGTTCGGAGGTAGTATCATCATACTTCTGGGATCCATCTCTTCTAGTTGGAGATGCGGGCAATGGAAATGGCTATGGAGTTCCGACAATCACGGGTTCTAAACCTAATCTCTCTTCTCCAGCTCATAACCTAGCTTCTGTTTCTCCAAAAACTTTGTCAACAAAGACCAATAATCAGGCAGAAATTAAAGCTTCAACCCCACCATTAGATGTTACATCAGGTGCTGGCGTGCTCAACCAATTAAAGCCAACAAATAAGGTTGTTTAATGCCTTTAGCTTCATGATCTTGTGATTTCTATTTTACTTTTCTTGTTGAATTAATTTTAATTTGTGTAGTATTTTCTGGGCCTCATAACTTGGTTCCATTTTCCAGGTAGCAACTGCTTTGCCAAAGGGATACTTTCCTTTAGCGAAGTTACAAGGAAAGAGTGGTCTGCTCTATCCTAACACTCCTATTAATTTCAAAGCAAATGGACGAGGTTGGAGCGGCACTGAAAAGCTTAAATCAAAAACTAGTGGCATTAGTGATTTTGACTGGCTAAATGAACAGAACCGTGGTCCTAGAACAAATAGCACCAAGGTCCCTGTTTTGGAAGTTGATATAGCTGGAACTTTGACTCCTGATGGCAACAACCACCTTGACATCACAGCCCCTGTTGTCAGGAGGGAACAGTACAACCTTCCTGATTTTCCTACTAAATATGATCATGCTTTGTTTTTTGTCATTAAATCTTATAGTGAGGATGATATTCATAAGAGTATTAAGTATAATGTGTGGGCAAGTACTCCCAATGGGAATAAGAGACTAGATGGCGCCTATCTTGATGCACAGGAGAGAATGGGGGAGAAAGGCAACAAATGTCCAGTCTTCCTTTTCTTCTCGGTATGCTTACACATTTGGATGTGGAAACGGTTTCTAGTTGTATGAAGTTTATTTTATTCTGGGTGGTATGTTCATTAACCTGCTACTTGTTTGTGGTTCAGGTAAATGCAAGTGGTCAGTTCTGTGGGGTAGCAGAGATGATTGGCCGAGTAGATTTTAACAAGAATATGGATTTTTGGCAACAAGACAAGTGGAATGGTTATTTCCCAGTGAAGTGGCACATCATAAAAGATGTTCCAAATCCACAGTTTCGGCATATAATACTGGAGAACAATGATAACAAACCTGTAACAAACAGCAGGGATACACAGGAGGTGTGCACTAACCTGTTGATGCTGCAATGAGATGCGTTAGGTTACGAATTAGTTGCTTCTAACCATTTTTGGGTGTCATGTTGTCTCAGGTTAAATTTGCCCAAGGCATTGAGATGTTGAATATATTTAAGAACTATTCATCGAAGACATCGATATTAGATGACTTTGCTTTTTATGAAAGCCGCCAGAAGGCAATGCAAGACAAGAGGATAAGGCCATCTACACCCCGTTTGGATCATGTGCAGGTTTTTCTCATCCTTCTAAATTGTTTTTCTCATCTACACCACGTTTGGATCATGTCAAAAACTTGTTTTCCAACGATGTATGGATACTAATACAGCTGTTTATCAACTGCATTCAGAACTTGGTGAAACCGGAGCCGTTCTAGTTTTAGCTGAACAGTCGACCGGACTCAGAAGAATGCTAACAATATTTCTTGTTGCATGTCTTTGGTAGTATGTACCTTTGGATTTGTAGTACTGATTGTATACGATATGTCTTCTGGCAGAAAGCGGGTGATATCACACAAGTAATCACTGGTCTTCAGTCGATTGACCTTAATGCTGCCAAGAAGAGCAATGAAGAAGTGGCGGTGCGAGATAAAGCAAAGGATTAAAGGGAAGAAGGCCTGAACGTACAGAGCATATATTTCAAGCGAGCATCACCTGAAGGACCTAATAACAGGCTGATGGATTGAAGGTGCCAATTCTATCGTCAAGGGAGGAAAGGGAAAAACCAAAAAAGAAAAAAAAGTCGAGATACTTTTTGGGTTGTGGAATGTTGCAATGAATTGATCTTTTGTTGAGGGAAGCGAGATAGTGGCCTGGCTCCAAGGTGCTTTTTTGGGTAAATGAAGGGAAAAAAAAAGAAGAAAGCTGCAGTATGCTTGGATGCATCGGCGATTGGCAATCCTTTAATATCGGGTTTCTCTGTAGTTTTTGTTTTCTAATATTTCTTTTGGCTGTAGGATCTGTTTGATCCACAGAATGTGCGTGTAGCGTACTGTGTAGTTTGTTGGCGTAGTGGGGGTGTGTGTCGTGTTGTGTGCGTCGGTGGGTGAGGATGTGAATGTAGCCGGGGCACAGTTGTGGGATTATTGACTTTTAGGTGGACGGATGTGTGGCCCCGAGCTTCAGCATTTTAGTGGTAATGTTTTTTCTTTTCAATTTCTTTTTTGTAGGGGAAAATGATGGTGGAAGAAAGAAAGTGTGAAGAGGAGGAAATTATACAACACAGATTTAAAGAAAAAGTAAAAAAAAAAAATGATGAATGGATATGGTTTCCTGCTCTCTCTCTCTCTCTCTTGTTATTATTCCTTGCCATTAACTTGGCTGTTACACGAAACCTAGAAAAAAATTCCTCAATACTTGTGCCGAATGGGTGTTGGGGCAATTTGTTGGTTGTTTGGAGTGGCCGAGCTGAGATATGTTTGGTAGGGTTGAAAATTGAAATAACTTTTATTTCTGGTGGGCATTAAATCTAAATGTGGTTGTTGACATGTCACAGCACAGATATTATAAGTCATGAGTCAGGTTCCATACATCCTATCCCATTCCATTTAGTCTCCGTTTGGTTTGCAGGATTATAAGAGCCTCGAATTTGAATGTTCCAACTGTTTGGTTGAGTGGAACTGGAATGGGTTATTCCGATTTCTGTTTGAAAAGCATTCCTTAATTCAAAGAAATGGCCATTTCCTGCCTTTCTCTTAGGCGTTGATCTTAATGTTCATTTTCATTCCTGTCTGAATTAAACAAATTATGGGAATAGATCACTCCCATTTTGATTATGAAAGATTTTGATTCTGATTCCGGTTCTTATTTCGAACCAGCTACTCTTTTTATGGTTTAACGACTCGATGCATCCAAGTTTCTGGTGTCTCGTGACTGTGAAGTGATGGGAGATTAATTAGGGGACAGTCTATAAACACGGTTTCAGCTGTGCTGAAAATGAGCAAAGACATACTTTAAAGTTTAAACCATCTGATATTACTAAAACACGGATTCAAATTTCTTAAAAGTCATCTTTAGACATTAATCTTGCCTAAGGTTCAAAGTATCAATATGTATTAGCCCATATTAGTTGATATGTATTATTCACGCCCCTATAGTTGGTATATTAGGGGTCTGACTGGTTCTTTATGTTATCTAGTGGGTACCCATTATGACTTCTCAATGGCACCTTCTGCTCCGGGGGTGCTCTTCAGACTTCAGAGTTCAGCTTGAGCTCCATGCTTCATCTCCTTGAAGTGAAGCTCATGAACCTGTTTGGCAAAGGGGGTGGGTTCAGGGCAAGGACCATATTATCCGTTTTTGACCCTGCTTCTGAAATTAATCCCATCCCTGTCCTTGATTCCTGTTGGGGCTAAAATGTGTCCTCCATCTGCGACCCCCAACGGGGATGGTCCCCACCCGTGGTGTCTCAAGTCCTTGAAATATTTTTTGATAATAAAAGTTTTTTAAAAATAAATTTACTTAAAATAAATAAAAAACTTAAATTATAAATAATGTCAAAAATAGTAGGAGTAGCATTAATCAATTTTCAGCAGTAAAGATATACTTAGTCAATTAACTAAACCATAAGGATAGTTTAAGAAATTTACTCTTTAAAATAAGCACATTAAAACTAAAATTGTGAGTGTTTAAAAATAATTATTTATTTACCAATAAGCATTTATTTATGTTTGAAAAATAAGCTTGATGAAATTTTAAACTTATTTTAAGTGATTATTCTGTTTTTGCCTGTCATATTATTTTGAAAACACGTATACTAATCTTATTTTAAATAAATATTTTTCATTAAACACACATAAATGCTTATTAGAATAAATACTTATTTTACAAATAATGACTTTGGCTTAAGACTAATTTGACTTGTGGCCTGCTGCGATGCTTGGCTGAGAAAAAATGAATATAAAAATGGACTGCTATGTTATTTGCCAAAGCCGAGTGCTTGTGAAATACACCTCTGATAAGCTCAAGCTTGGGGCCTTGGGTCTCATGCTCCGGTGAAAGACTCTAAATTTAATGCTGTAATCGTCAGCCGTTGTTTTTACTTTATTGCCCGAAAAAAAGTCGTCAGTTTTATTTTATTTTTTGTTATTATTATAAAAAAAAAATGAAAAAACTCACGCCGTTGCCGGGGATCGAACCCGGGTCGCCCGCGTGACAGGCGGGAATACTCACCACTATACTACAACGACCCTCATGAGTAATGGTCAATAACGAATCGATGCCAATAATACCAGATCCTCACTTCAAGCCCTTGTCAGTTTATTCCCAAAGATAATATTTCCGACCCTCCCTTCTCAGTTTTCACTTCCACTTCCTCTTCTCTCACACGTCTGTCAATGTGTTTTGAAAGTCCTATATTTGACTTGACTCCGAATCTGATTATTACGGATTTGAATGTTAAAATTTGTATCCAATTAATTATCAGATTGATGGGTGTGGATTTAATCTCATCCGATCATTCAAAATCCAAATCTGATAAAAAATTATTATAATATATATATATATTTGTAAATATATAAAATTCATAATTAATAAATTCAATATTTAATATTTACATGTATTTATTATATATGCATAAATTAAATATAATTAGGTTTTTTAAATTTTTTTGGTCATTTAAAATACAAAGGATGGTTGTTGATTAAATATGAATTCAATCCGAAATCCAACATGGCAGATGTAGATTTAGAGATTCGATCCGATTCAAATCCAATCCATTTACAGCCATACTCCCCTCTATTTTGCCCAAATTTCTCTAAACCTGCAATCATATTTATATGTGAGGACTGAGGAGTATCCACATGATGCCCCTGCACCTTGGTTGCTCCATTTTAAATTTGTTATATAACTTTTTATAAATTGAATATTTAATTTTAAGAAATTAGTTTTGTTCAAAATTTGGACCACCCAATATTTCTAATTCCAGACATGAGATGGGCAGTCCATACATAAATAACAGGGCAGAAATGAGGAATTTCGGAAGCTAATAACGACTTTTGAAAGGCAATTTTAGAAGATATTAGGAATAATTAAGACATGAGAGAGAATATGGTTGAGAAAGCCACATAAGTCTTGAATGAACATAACATCTTTGTAGACAAAATTTAATCTGTCTAAGCACAATATTAGAAATACCACCTTTTTCCCGTTATTTTCTTGTAAAGTATAAGACTGATTCGGCTTTCTTTCAAGATAAAAGGGGATTTTTTCTATCTTATACATTAGCAAATGGCAAACATCCGCCCTTCAAATCAAATACAGCTTAAAGGATTTAGGTTCATTTATAATAAAACTTTAGTCAATAGATACTAAATAACTTTTAAATGATGCATCTTTATATAATTTCATCGGGTCAGGTCAAATGACAAATCTAAACCCGAACGATAAATAGAGAGAGAATTTGATTTAGCCACAAAAGAATGTGGGGATGCTGCAATTTTTGTGAAGGTGGCAAGACGCAAGGGATAAGATGATTTGGAAAGTGGGTGGGAATATAATTGAATTCCTGCAAATGGAGTGTGGTTGTCCACCCAATTGGAATCCATCCTTTAGAAAACAGACAACTTGATTCTCTGGGGGGTATCGTGTCCACGTATCACAATATATGCATTATCAAATTGAGCTCCAATTGTCCAACCAAATTGATAAATCCCAAGATATTTTCAGAGCTGAAATGCTCATTTTGATGGTGGTGGAGGTATATAGGGTCTTCTGACAAAGATTTGGACGAGGTTCTACTGCTACTGCTACTACTACTATTACTACTGTTAAGGCTTTACATGTTCCTAAAACTATATAAAGAAGACCACACCAAATGTTCTGTCACCACCTTTTAGTCGAAAATGGAATTCAACACCATGGTCCATGGATCCTATTTCATTTATCTTGACATTTTTCACATTTTGGTTGATTGTTGCATTCAAATTGTATAAATTAGGTTTCTACTATTATCGTTCGTTGTCATCATCATCACCATCCTCCATGTCTGGAATTTTGAATCTATATACCCTTCCTTATTCATTTGATATTACATTGGAGTTAAGGTATAGGGTAAACGTTTTGAAATTTTAATATGAATAACACAAATGTCTGAGTGTGAGTTACAACTTTGCAAGACAATCCAAAATTAGGAAGACTGATTTGGGTGCATGCACTGCACGTTTTAAGAAGTCCCATACATGGGGTAGGAGGCTTTACTTTATAGGAAAAAGGAATTATTGGGCTTTGGGAGTATCAAATCGAAAGTGGCAGCATAATTGAGGCAGAGGCACTAATAGGCACTAATTTGGGTTGGATGGGCTCGGGTAGGGTGGTCAAGAGTCGAGTTTTTTACGAGTTATTCGAGTTTGGTTTGGTTCGGTTTAAATTGAGATTAATTTAGTTCGAGCATGATACATTGGTTTGTTTGCTAATCGAGTTAAGTTTGAGCCTAGTGAAACTCGGTTCGTAAGATTCATGAGCCTAGTATAATAAATAAATAATTTTTTATTACATACATACATACATATACACACATACACATACACATACACATACATACATACATACATACATACATACATACATACATACATACATACATACATACATACATACATACATACATACATACATACATACAT